ACTTATAATGCGCAGAATACAACCTGGTCTTTGCGGGCACAATGCTCATGCTGATGTCACAATCTTTTTGCAGGACGTCTATTTATTGCGTTAATCTGGAGAACAAGGATGTGGAGGTTGTCTTACCTTATTGCTTGCCTGTATCACATGTAGATGGCACGCGCTTTTGTGTCAACTGCTATGTGGTTCATGTTGTAGTGACAAACTAAAACTTATGGAAGTAGGAGTAGGGTCGAGTTACGAAAATCTTACTTTCAAGACGGTAGATGTCCCAACGGCCGCTGTTGATATTTCACGAGCTATTTTGGCCATCAAGGGAAGCAAAGGCCGCCATTAAAAATATGCCAGTGAACAAGAATCTAACAATCCACTCTATACAAAGAAACATTAACATTCTGCCAAAACCAAAGACGTTAATTTGTTAAAAGCACTTTTCAAAATCTTCTCTTGCTATTTTTTTCCAATAAACACTGGATATAAACTATGATTTGGCTTCCAAAAAAGGAAGTATCCAAAATCATGTTGCCGATGTGCACGTAGCCTTTGGAAGGTATGTCGTGTAAGTGTGTATGTGGCTGAATAGAAGATGCTCAAAAACACACAACCACAGCTACACTGCCGTCTCACACTAATTTCCACGCTCCGAGCCGCTCACCAACAGTCACCAAAATCTCTATTAAAATCTTCATCAACACGTCTCTTGACTTAGTGTTTCCTCAAACTTCGATGACAAACTTTTGATCAAGTAATTTAAACTATAAATTGTAGATTGAGAATTTCTTTCTCACTGTTTCACCATCGATCATTGCTGTCAAACCACTTTTTATTGATGAACCACATCCTCGGGAGCAATTCTAACAAAAACATGCTACAAATATGAGTGAGAGATTGCATGGGTTGGGCATATGGGTGGCTGTGGGGATGACTGTGGATGTGAGTGTTAGTCAAAATGGGTAGAAATGAAAGTTAGGTGCGGGTACCAGTTGTAAGACTGCTGTGGATTCCGTGAGTTTCAAACTCCCAAACTTCTGAAAAATACAATCAGAGATTTGCAGTTTCGGTGGCAATACTGAACTATCGACAATGATTGAGCGGTAGTGATTCTACTGTAACGTATACTACCGTGACATTGTCTTTGTCGACACTGTGAGCACACCTTCGACTGATAATCATTGACTAGATAGGCTACACTTATGAACATTCACTAGAGCACTGACACTTACTAAAACATCGACGGTCAGTAAACATTTATCATACTAATCTCGATATCCAAGGAAGCACTTAGGCGTCAACTATGTCAAAGCATGTCCTGTTTGTGCTTTTATTCATATTCATCTATGAAAAGTGTTGAGATCATCGCATCTATCATTTCTAGAAACAACATGAATTTAGGCAATATATAATTCCGAATAATAATACCGACTTATCAGGAATTTGGCACTTCTGTCAATAGCTTCAATCTTAATACATGAACGACGCCTTTCAATCGAGAGAGTGTGAGCATGGAATGTATGTTGCTGTAGGTGTAGACCTTTTGCTCGTTGATACGAATACTAGTCTAATATCACTACAATTTAAACGTGGATGAGGGAATATATGCAACTTGAATCGAAGTGAGAAATTGAATTGATCAATGTGCTGAAAACGTCTGTGAAATAGACAATAAGACAGTCTTCTTTTTGGTCAATGCCAAATAGAAAAAAAGTGTTATGACGTTCGGCTGTAAGTTCTCGAACTGAGATGATTGTTTTTGTTATCAACGGTTGGAATCGTGAATGATTGATTAGGTTCATCAGTATGGATTGATCTAAACATTCGATGCCTAATCAAATATAGGAGACAGAATAGAGATGACAAGATCGCTAACAAACAATTCGATTCACTCAACTGATCTCATGGATGATTATCTGATCATGAAATATACTCAAAACAGCAACCACGTGAAATAGAAATTGTTCGAAAACAAACATAATTGTCCTTTGATTCCAAGAAGTTTCCAAAATTTATTAATCGAAAATCGACCTCGTTTTCTTTCATGCATATGCCTTCCATTAATACGTTTGCTTGTTACTTAGCACGAACGTGTTTTGAAGATTTGATTTTGCAACAGCGCTGAAAAAATACGTAATATTGTCGTAATTCTCGCAGCTTCGCTTCATCTGAGTATTTACTTTGTATGGATTTTATTGAAGTTGGAAAAAAGAAACGTTCACGAGTCAACTAAGTAAAAAATGCGAAGAAAAAACATGCATTAGTCACTGTTTGTTTGTCCTGCGCGAACGATTCACTTTATGTTGAAAGTACACAATTTGCTTTTATCCAATGATAACATCGAAACTCATCGATGAATTTCAGTGTGGTCTAAATGAGAAATATCTTGAAGAAAGAAAATTTGTATGTCATACTCGAAATAAAGAAAGGCGAAATAGAATTTGATATGGATATAAGCAAGAATCAAATAAAACGACATGACACCATATTTTAACACCTCTTTCTGTAACGGAACAAGTCTTGCTTCATTTCTATATCAAAAAGTCTAAAATCGAAATGTTTCTCGAAAAGAAGATAGACCGAAGCGATTGATTTAGTCTCTTTCGTTTTTTCTTTCCGGGTCGAGTTGATCGAAATAACTATTTATATCGTATGGAAAAAAAGAGCTGTCTTTTTCTAATATGTATAAGAGTTAGAACAAAATTGATGATCCAAAATGAAAGTTTGATTGGTTGTCATTTATTTTTCAGTACTCGTTCGCATTGAATGAAGAAAATAAATAATGATAACCTGATGTATCTTATTTCGACAACAATTTATCCCAAACTACCTAGCTCAAATCATTATCTTATAAAACACGTATAGTTGTTGCATTCAATACATTTGTTACGAGACGACATTTTCACAATTATTGTTGTAATTGAACCAATTTTATGGAGAAGTGCCATACAAAAGAGAATATCTTGAACCATGTTCGAGAGTAATTGAGATATTTGATGCGAAAGTTTCAATCCGTATTAAATCGATTTCGACGGCGATCGAATTTGGTCAAATACAAGATCATTTTCATTTGTGTCTAACTCAAATCCGATGCCGCAAGAAAACATCACTCATGATGAATCGATTCATTCAAGCGAGCTAGATTGACTAGTGACTCGAGAAAGAACCGGAAACTCCAATACAAATGGTTTTTCCTATGAAAATCTCTCAATCAATTGACATGAATGATCATCGATGCTCGATCGACAGACTGTTTGTTCCATGTGCGATTCATTTCACAAATGAGTTTGTTGCTTGTTCAAATTCGTTTCAAGGAGAAGAACCACTTTGCAACTGGAATTAACTGATCAAGTAATGAATTATTCGTATTGACTCGGTGNATATCGTATGGAAAAAAAGAGCTGTCTTTTTCTAATATGTATAAGAGTTAGAACAAAATTGATGATCCAAAATGAAAGTTTGATTGGTTGTCATTTATTTTTCAGTACTCGTTCGCATTGAATGAAGAAAATAAATAATGATAACCTGATGTATCTTATTTCGACAACAAGTTATCCCAAACTACCTAGCTCAAATCATTATCTTATAAAACACGTATAGTTGTTGCATTCAATACATTTGTTACGAGATGACATTTTCACAGTTATTGTTGTAATTGAACCAATTTTATGGAGAAGTGCCATACAAAAGAGAATATCTTGAACCATGTTCGAGAGTAATCGAGATATTTGATGCGAAAGTTTCAATTCGTATTAAATCGATTTCGACGACGATCGAATTTGGTCAAATACAAGATCATTTTCATTTGTTTCTAACTCAAATGCGATCCCGCAAGAAAACATCACTCATCATGAATCGATTCATTCAAGCGAGCTAGATTGACTAATGACTCGAGAAAGAACCGGAAACTCCAATATAAATGGTTTTTCCTATGAAAATCTCTCAATCAATTGGCACGAATGATCATCGATGCTCGATCGACAGACTGTTTGTTCTATGTGCGATTCATTTCACAAATGAGTTTGTTGCTTGTTCAAATTCGTTTCAAGGAGAAGAACCGCTTTGCAACTGGAATTAACTGATCAAGTAATGAATTATTCGTATTGACTCGGTTCGATTTGTTCGATCAATCATACAATTATTTGATTTCTATTAGCTTTGACTATTCTAAGATATATTCAAGAAATCTTTCATCAACATTCAATATTAAAATGCTTCCAGTCAATATTTAACAAGTTCTATTGATGAGTCGAAATTGCAGCGAAGTAATAATCTGCCCTGACTCGTAGAGTATGGATCTGCATTCACGTAGATTCTTCTTAATGCTATCAACAGCTATCTTTATATATAATAGTAAGTCGAACGAACATCAACATTTATAGATATCCATCAAAATTTTGAAGAAACTCGAATAATTAAACTAGATGATTTTTGTAAGTGTTCTCCAGTGAATTCATCAACATACAAGAAAAAAAATCCATCAAAATATTCTTATTTTCATATACTTATTAATCAGATGATGTCACGACAGTCTTGAAAAACTTGTCAGAGATAGTCAACTGTAAAGAGGAAGTTTGTTATATTAATACATCAAATAAAAATACAAATAGTTTTTTTTAAGTGCAATTAAAATACTTTTACTTGCTATACTTACATTCGCCCTATCTTTAACTAAGATCCATAGGAAAATATATTACCAGGAAATGAATCTTAGAAAAATGCATCGATAGAAAACACCTAGAAATCCGAGCGAGTTCATGCACACAATCGTAGGATGAATATACTGGAAGCTAGTCGAAGAGTATCTTTGATAATAAACTCGAATACCAAAATGTTTTCCATTCTTTCGACTCGAGTCTATTTTTTAAAACAAAAGAGCAGCTATTGTGTACTGTTTTTTCTCGAAAAAGATTGATAAAATTAGTACACATTCATAGATTTCAAGAAAGAAATTGTCGAAGCCTTATTCTTTATTTAAGAGAAAAAAGAAACATTACAAAAGACGATATCTATTTTTTGAAGCAGGCATGCCACCCTTCTTTTTCAAAATCAATTCCATAATATCCTTCTGGACATGTTCCTATTGATAGTCTATCACACGTCGGCCCTTTGTAATCACTAATCACGCCACAGACCGTGCCTGATAAATCTTCAATCGTCGGATCGTTCTTATAACATATGTAACGAAAATCTTGTGTGTATCCTTTAGGACACTCTTTATTTGGACTGAGTCCACCACACAAAGTACGTGCCAGACCACCACATAAAGTCCCCGGTATACCATTTTGTTTACTAGTAGTTGTATTGTTTTTGTAACAGTACGCCCCACCATCTGTAAATATTTGACGTGAATAACCTGAAGGACATTTATGACGTGGATCTGATCCATTGCACAAAATGGGACTAGATGTTGTGAGTTCAGCCCAACCACATGCTGTACCACGGTAGATTGTAATATCGGCAAAACAGACAGAAACAACGATAAGTATTAGTGAAATCACAAGAATCTTCATTTTTGTTACTGATCATGGGAAGAGAACACTGCCTATATATATATTTCTATGTATCGATAACACAGAAGATAAGAATCACAAAAATGTCTCATCATGTCAAGGATTGGCGTCAGCAGAGCCAAATAGATAGCTGCTTTGCTATTAGTCAAATAAACAGTCATTACTGCGTTGTGGTGCAATTTTTATATTCAAGAATTATGAAAAAACTTCATTTGTTGTTTCTACATGTTTTTTTTCGTTATATTTCATTTCTTCGATTTGTCGTTCATCCATTTTCAGAGTTTTCTTCATCGATCGAAATCTGTCGGGAGCATCAATGCTTCGAAGTGTTTCATTGAAATCTTTGTTAATTTATTGTGCGAGTTGAAAAGAAAATCAGCTACATGAGATGGAAATAGTTCGGAAACAAACATAATTGTTGTCCGATTCCGAAAAGTGTTCAAAATGGATTAATTGAAAGTCAACTGAGTTTTCTTTCATAGATATGCCTCTCATGAACACTCCTGCTTGTTATTTATCACAGATGTCTCGAAAATTTGCTTTCATAATAGCACTCAGAGACACATCATATCGTCATCATTCTCGCAAATTCACTTCATCTAGGTATTTAAGTTGCATTGTTTCTATTGAAGTTGGAACAAAACAAACACCCATGAGTCAATCAAGTATGTCATTGACTAAACACTTCTCGGAACTTTTCAGCAAAAAAGTATGAAGAGAAAACATATAGCTGTCTTCAAGAAACTTGCACACTTTTTTCTTCAGATACCATCTTCTATACATGTTCTCTTCAAACTGTTTTATAGGGTGATGGAGAGTCCATGAAGAGTACTGTGGCACATCATAATTTGATATTTCCCTTTTTTGACTTTTAGAAGATATAAAAACGACACATCTGTTTTTCTTGGACATAGCAAAATTGTTTGTAACAGAAATTTCAACATTTCTTTTTCAATTAATTTTTTCAAACTTATGTTTTATGACTGTTCTAAGGTTTCTTGCAGTTAAAATTCGAGACATTACTTGAGTACTCGATTATTTATGATTCATGAATATTAACGAACTGTTGATTGGCATGACTGATACGTAATCAGTCAGCTTTTCATTAGAGATATCTCTATTGATGAAGTTTTTCTAAGGTGATATTACTCTTTTCATCATTTACATCTAGCTACAAAAACCCAGACGGTGTTCAAGCATTTAAACATAATGAAAGTCATTAAAACTGCATCTTCATGTATAATAGACAAAAAGCGTATTTTTTTGCAATATACTCCCAATAAGGCCCATCTCCATGTCAAAAATATATTTTTGTCCAAGAACAACTGATCTTGCTGAAATTTTCAGGAGATGTGTGCCTGAACCTAAAAAGCTTATAACAAAAATTACAGCCCAAAATATTTGGCTATTCAATAGTTATTCATATAATAAGGGCCAAAAAGTAGGTTCCCGTCTGTCATAGATTTCTTCCCAAATTTAAAATCCGAAAAAAATAGTGGGTATGCATATGAAAACTACTAATTTTTCTAAAAACTTGCCAAAAAATAAAAAATCCGGCTCTGCTAAGTTGTTAAGCACAATTTGCTCTTCAATTTAAAAACTTTCTCAACTTTCTATGATGTAAAAAGGCTGAGAAATCTGTGACGCAGAAGTAGGAAACAAATAAAAAACTCTTGTTGAGAAAAAAGTCAAACAAAATTTAAAAATTCGTTTTTCCTCATTCCGGCATTATCAATAAATCTTGTGTAAAACCGTGAAAAACCATCATAAATCCAATAAACTATACTATTTTCGAAAGTAGACAACAATAACTATCCAATTATATCAAAATCTCAAAATCAATTTTTTGACAAAAATCGCGATTTTTGACACGAAGGTTGGCCTTAACAATGAAAATTAAGAAAAAATTAATGTGATTATATATATTAAGAGTCAATATAATCATTATTGATTATTGAAAAATTAATAAATACTCTATTAAAATTTGATCTGATTTTATTCTCTTTTATTTCTAATATTTATCTGAATACCTCTTATCGACACAAATTAATGTGCTTTCCAAATTTGACTCCTGTCTTATTGAAAACCAGCATCATTAATTAGATTCAAGATTAACATATATCGTTTTTTCTTATTTTCAGCGCCTCCAGAAGATACTGATCCAACCTTTTGACATACAATAATATAAACAATAAATATAAAAACATCAAAATTTTCCATTGACATAAATATCAAAAGTTAAACATAATATATAGATCACGGATTCACTTAAATCTTTTGAACCTCAAAATTTTAACTTATCGACTAGCTTTTAGTCTGTTCAGTTTAGAAGAAAAAAAGCATGCTTAATTTAATTTGAAAATTGTTCGTGTCTGATTAATTGTTAAAATTCAAAGAATTTCCATGAGATTCTTTTTTTCTAAATCTCTAATCTACTTAGGAAAATAATGTAATTTCATATTTGAAATGAAGAAATTGCCATAAAAGGTATCGAAAAAGAAATGTTTAGATGATTAGAAAAATTGAAAAAAAAATACACATGAAAGAATGAAAAAAAAATCTTTACACTAGAAAATATCGAAGAGAATTTTTTTATCAGCTTATTTTGTTTACTTTTGATTTTCAAATAAATCAATAAAATCAAATATAATATTTTTCTTTCGCTTGTTCTTAATTCAACAAATAATACTTCATCGTTAGGTCGCATTTTTTCAACATTGTATTATTCTCCACTGATTTAAAGAACGTGCAAGTAAGAATTAAAGAAAATTATTTTACTAAGAATCGTTGAAACAATTCATTTCTTTTACTAAGATATAACTAAATTGTTACATCTTTTTTTTCTGTCAAAAAATATAAAAAATACCAGAAGAAACAGTTAAATATTGTGTCGCTCACTGTTCTACGAAGTTGAGTAAATAAATTTTGATTTTTCGTTTCATATGTTTTATTAAAAAAGCACACGAGTAAGAAAAAAAAAAGCATTGAAATAGCATACATACAAACTAAACAATGGTCGATCGAATTGAAACAAGGTAAATTTATGAATTTTAACTAAATTCTATTCAAAACATGTTGTATAAAATTTTTACAGACCATATTCTAACAAAATTGATCTTCGTCTTCAAACATTAATTACATCTCCATATGCGCAACAACAATTACAACTTGCTGGACTGGTATATAAAAGAATCTTTTAAAGTTTATGATTAGAATTTTTCTTTGTTGATAAGTTCGTAAAAAGTCAATCTTTAGTTCTTTTAAGACAATTCTGTTTTGATATTTTCATATAATATTTTTTCCAAGTATCTATCAACTAATTGGATTCTTATAAAAGTCTTTTGTTTGATATTTAGATAAATCATCGTGGCCAGATTATTACCTCCAATGACTATCTTCGTAGTCTATCGCAACGAAAACGTCAACGACGAGAACGTGAAGGAATAAAACAAGAAATTGTTTTACGGTTTGTTACCTCTATGATTAATTCCTATGATTTATTCATATAGATTTTAGAGCATTAAAAATTGATCAAAATAATCATCGTGGTCGTCGTCATCAATCCGACATTGTTACACAGCATGCTGTGAATAGTAATTTTGAGGTGAGATCAAACAAATCTTCAGTATACTTAATACCTTTTTCTTCTTTTGTAAAGACTGTCAGTAGACAGTATAGAAAGCAATCATATGGACGTAGAAAACCTCGTGAAAAAAGTGCTCCTGGTTATTTGTTGGTAATGATTAAGTATTATACATAGTCACGATATAATAAACTAGTTTCAGAAAGCAGAAAATGATGGTGAACAACGAATACGAGTCACTTCGGCGCACAAAAGAATATCAAAAATTAACAAAGATTTACCAGAATCTGATCATGAACAAAATCATATTGAGCCAGTAAGTCTATCTGATATTATTCATTAGACCACAATGGTTTTGTACGAAAATGATTCATTTTACAGTTAGATAAATTACATGTGCTTTCTGTCGAGCGTCATGTATGCGAAGTAACTATGTCTTATACAGCAAAGACGACTATAAAAAATGGACAACCTGGCCGTGATGAAATTGTTGTCATGCAACAACATACTACTGGAGAAAATTTAGTCGTCTATAGAGGATTTCTAGTCGAAGGCGGTAAGTGTATTACTCAAAATAATTATCAACGATTTGTTTTGTTTTTGTAGAATCCTTTTCATTCAAATCTCAACGTCGATCTACATCTCCTCTGTCATTGGCTTTTTATGCCAAAGGATTAATTGATAGTGTAATAAATGATTGCTGCGAGTTTAAATATGGTAGAAGAAATCAACACAGTAATGAGCATAGTAAATTTTTGATTGAACGAGTTCAAAAGGCTAGTCCTTGTGAGAGGTAAGTTAAATACTTATTATACAATATATAGTATAGAAAAATATTGAATTTTACTAGCTGTCGAAGAAAATATTTTCGAAGAGCATTAACAGCAAATGGTAATATTACACCATCGGATACTGTAAGTATAGTTGTTATAAAATAACTGAGAAAATAGTTTTGTACAGTTCAAGTAATCAGCGAATGAACACCTAAATATACGATTTGATTCAACTTGCTTTTGGGCACTATTTACAGTAGTATTTGTTAAATTGATTTGTAAACAAGAAATGAGATCAATATTTGACTCTTATTAGGCTTTTTTATTTAAGTTAGAATAGAAAGTGAACAGATCAATGTAAACATTAATACATACTATTAATATTTTTCATGAAAAGTGGAATTTTTTCAAGGACTATTATGTAATTTTGTTTATTTGACTTTTTACTTCAGGTACAAAGTGGACATTCTCAAAAAGTACTTCAATGTTTTTCAACACCTACACCCGAACTCTCAAGTAAAATTAATATATTCATCCCGTATGAAGAAAATCTTATGTTTTTATATATTTCTAGTTGACAATCAAGAACACGATTCATCAGAAAAACTAAATTCAAGTCCAAAAGAACATCCAAGCAATAAAAAAGTAATCTCTCCTACTTTTCATTAAATGTAAATTATATATCGTGTTTTATTATAGACAACACAACACAAAAAACACAGAGAAATTGTTATTACAACGGATGAGAATAGTAAGCAATCTTTTAAATGATCATAATTGTCTAAATTTAATAAATATTTGTTTTTTTTTCTCTAGAGAACAAAGATAAACAGGTTAAAACGACATAAACAAGTGTAAGGTATCTGTTTTGTTTTTGTTTTTTAAATAGGTAACAGATGAACAAAAGAATAAGAAATTATCTTTCAAGTCTTCCTCTCAACAACAAATAACTCGAGGTGAAAATTATCATGATGACAGACTTTTGTTCAAATTTGTTGCTTTTATATATTTACGTAATTTTACAGAACAAACATCATCAGTTGACTTCAGTCTTCTAGAATATACACTTCTTCATGAAGGAAAACCATCCAAAAAAAGAATTCCAAAAAAATCCAGCAATCCATCGATTATGAAAAAAAAATTGATCATGCACAGTGCTGAAATTAGGCCTAGTAATAATTCATGAAGAAAATTCATTATAAATAAGACTATATTATTTATATAGAAGAAACAACACCACCTGCACCTTCACCAGGAAAGGAAAACATTCAAGCATGGGTTAATCAAGCAGATGTCATTTCTTGGAATACTCGCAGTTCAACTAATAGTATCAGTACACTAGATGCAGAAAACACTTTGCAAATGTCTATGACTCATATACAACAACGTATGTTTTCTAGCTAAAACAATTATATTACAAGTGTAATTTTCATTGAAAAGAATGTTATAAAATTGTACTTGAATCAAATTCTTTCTGCATATTCATTAAAAATATTTCTTTAGAATTTCAAAGAATGCAATCGATATTCTTCTTTGTTTGTTTAGAATTACAAGAACTACCACATCAATCACAATCAATTCATGTAGCACATCTTGAAAAGAGTGTAGAAAATTTTATTTATATTCTTGATGGCAATGTACAAATTTCTAATGTAGACAAGACAAAACTACGTGGTCTTATAAATTTTGGATTCATATTTAATGTTATTAATGATAAAGCATGTATTGAATTTATCACTCAAATTCTCAATGAGCAAATTATTATAATTTTATCAAGTACCACTATGAAAAATTTAGATCGGAAGATACGTAATGCTTTACAAATTCATTCTATTTACATCGTTGACGATATTAAAGATTACTCAAATGATTTTGAGAAAATTCGAGGTATCTTTCCTAATATAGATAATGTTTGGGATCAACTTGAGAAAGATATTGTACTATTTACATATAATCTCAGTACGATCGTATCAGTTCCTGCCAACGATACTAGTGACAGTACTTTTGCTTATATACAAGTATTGAAAGATATACTCTTGGAAACCGAGGAGAAAACTGACTTGAAAAAACAAATGTTAGACTTCTGTCGTCAAGTATATGCTGATAATGTTATACAATTGAGATTTATTGATGAATTTGAACGTCATTTTCGACCTGATGAAGCTGTTAAATGGTATATACGTCAAGATACTTTTCTATTTAAAATGCTTACACGAGCCTTTCGAGTACCGGAGCCGGACATACTTTTTAAACTTCGTTTTTTCATTCAATGCCTTCATCGTCAGCTGAAGTCAAACTTCTCCAAAACATCAATAACTGTTTATTGCACTCAACAAATATCAAATGATAATTTTGATACGATATTAAAAAATCAAGGAGGTTTTCTGACTTTTAGTCAATTTCTTTTGACAAATAAAACTAAAATTATAGCAAAACAACAAACGACTGGACTACCGTTTAATAAATCTGAGTTGAAATTAGTTCTTTTTCAAATGGAGCTCGGCACTAGAATTCCTAGAATAGATATTAAAACGCCTCATAAGGAGCTACTCATTAATGCTACAACTATTTTTCGTATCTCTAATGTCAAACATACAAATAAAGAAATACCAATTGTAAAACTAACGTCGAATGATGACATATTAAAATCAATACAAGAAGTAACAAAGAATGTACGTGAAGCTGCTCGTGGATCTTTTCCATTACTTCGTATGGCCAAGCTCATGAAACAGATGGAATATATTCAACATACAGAATATTTTTGTCGCATGTTAATGGATGATCCAATGATTGTTGACAATGAAGCAGCAAATTCAATTGTCGGTGGATTATTTCATACGCTTGGCAGTTTTTATTATGAACAGGCACAATATGATCGTGCACTTGAACAACTTCAAAACTCTCTTGAAGTCTATTTACATGTTTTGCCTCCAAACGATATAAAATTAACGCCTACCTACAATAACATGGGAAGTATCTATCATCAACAAGGACTTGATAAACAAGCACTTCAATTTCATATGAAAGCGTATAATATACAAGTAAAATCTTCAAATCCTGATCCGGAATCAATAGCTACTTATGCAGGTAATATTGCTTCTGTGTTTGTACAACAAGGCAAATATAACGAAGCCATCCCATTTCTTCAACATGATTTAAAAATTCGTGAACGACTTCAGCCAAATGGTGATGATATAAGTCTGGCAGTTAAATACCACAGTCTTGCCGGAGCTGAATTTAATATTAGTAAATATACTGAAGCATTAGAAAATTATGAACAGTGCCTCGAAATTGAGCTTAAATTACATCCAAAAACTCATCCTACTGTAGCTGTAACTTATTATAATATAGCAACAACATTTGAGGCATTAGACCGATTGAAAGAAGCGATTGAAACAATCCAAAAAGCTATAAAACGTCTGCTTCTAACAAAAGATATAAATGATGAAGATGTACAAATGTATAAAGAATATGAAAAAAGCTTGCAACAAAAACTTATGGTCAAAAGTTTATATGACACTACTTAGATAAATATGTTTTCTTTTTCTTTTTTATTTGTATTATGTGCAGTGTTTTTCTTTTCTTCTATTTGATTAAGTGTTTGGATATTTGACATGACACAATGAAGATTAAAATGGAATATATATTCTATTTTGTGAATAATCATTTAATACAAGTATTAGATAAGACTCATTGTGTATAACAGTCAAAGAATACTAATTAGGAAAACCTTTTCAATACAAATATCAAGACTAAATAATTCTGAGCGGATTTTCTTATTTTGGTAAGATATTGACAGATTTTTGTTCAGAAAATATTCTATAAGATTAACTTGATAATAATAACTTGTCAATGAAAAATGTTCCATTTTGGAGCAAACAGGTTTTATAGGTTTTAATTCTAATTATTTTTAGGATTCTTATTTCCTTTTATTCTTTTGTAAAATTTCAATGATGTTCAGGTCAATCGATACGGAGAAATCTCATCAAGCGTTTACATTTTAACGTAAAAGTCATTCATGTGATCGTTGTTATGTCCATGATGTTATGAATCAAAGCGCACACGAACTGTTAATGAATAAGCGTTTATTTATAGTTCAAAGTATGTCTGATTTCTATGTGCCGACTCCACGGCTCATAAACATATGTGAACATGTCTGTGTATATTCATATGTAAACGAGGTTTTTTGAATGTATATAATTATTCGAAAATTCTTCAAGTACAATTTTATTGAGAAAGATCTTTATTAATGGACGACATAAAATCATCTTACTTAAGCTTTATTAAATAGTTTCTATCATTGATGTTTAATTGCTTCATATATTAATTGTTCATTGTGCGTTCAACGTAAAAAACATTGAATGTCATCAATATTCATACAACTAAATTATATAGCTTGATATTCAGAGAATATCCAATCTACATTGATTTTCATCATGGCTAATTGATGATAGATAAAAGGAATTATAAAAAAAGCTGAATCTTCATGATCTATATTCTTCTGCATTTCCCATTCATACAATTTTATATCATTGAAGAACTGTTATTACTAGTTGAAATTTTATCGAATAGAATAGATTAATATTGATCACACTACTTTACGTACACATAATTAGTATGCATATAGATAATAGACTGCTTGTTAATATTTCACAAGTAAAATACAAAGTGTAGCACCGTTTTGCAAAAGTTGCTTAAGTTCAATGAGATTTGAGGTACTAGTAGAAATAAGATACATATACTATAGAATTTTCAGCTCGATATATTTCGTTGAGAAGGAGTGATAGTGGGACTACGTCTGCATTAAACTAATGTAAAGTAGGAAAAATTTAGTTTAGTATCATTTTCAAAAAGATCAATTTTTGTTTTTTAGATTTTATAGCACGATAAATTTTGCATGATATACAATTGAACAGAGGGTCAAAGTCTGTACATTTCTACCCTTCTTTAAATATTTTCTACTACTCACGGAAGTATTTTAGAAATACAAGAAAAGTGAAGATCTCTATCTTTTCTGTCAAAATTTGAAATCTTTTTTTCACAAAATCAGTGAGTTTCGCTAATGTGATTGTATTCTTATAATAAGACGTTACTGCAAGGTCAAACTTTCACAAAAACTGTCCCTTAATCTGGGTTACTATTGCTGCAAAGGGTGTAAGTGCCTAGATCTAATTCTTCTCTTCATTGACATTCCTACTCACACCAGCATCCCACACCCCGTCAAATCATGAATACTTTCGATGAAACCATAGAATAATATACCTTAAATAGGAATTATATACTCTTCTCGTTTTCATATAGCCGTTGTGGTTGAATGATTAACTTGTTCGACACATATCTACAAGATAGTGTGTTCAAACCTCGGCACCAGCAAACATAAAATGTCCTTGGGCAATTTACTAACGGCTGCTAGTGTCGAACCATCCATCCGATACCAAGCTGACTCTCTGTGACATCCACAAAAATCGATTGCAGCTAGTATGTGATTAGTCAGTATGCATGAGGAGCTTAAGTGATTAAGTGGGATGAACTCTAAGTCATGCTGACCTTTTTTATCCACAGCTGTAGCTAATAATAGTTGTAGGGAAACATCGGACTTTCGAAACTGTCCTTGGACACCACCCTATACTGAAAGGTAGCCGAAAGGCAACAGTATTCTTCTTCGTCTTCTTCTCATTTTCATACACCATATTTCTATAAACCTATTTTGATCGTAGACCTTCGCAGAATTCATGACATCTCATAAACCCTTCAAAAGTAGATGGGATTTACGTTGAGCGGACCCGGATGTCATTCCTTTGTACTGCTGCGTTCACACCCAAATATAAGAGAGTTTCGGACTCATCTTGTCGAATGTATAGACTTATTTAACAGTTCATTCATGGTTCATTGGGCGCATGAAAACATCACTTAAACATGAAGTAAAGTGTATTCTTTTCTCGCTTTTACAAAGCTCAACAAGCTTTACTGTAAAGAAAAATTAGAATTACAAGTCGACAGTTCTATCAAGTGCATATATCTCTTGTACAAATCTTTCTTCAGCATCGTCTAAAGAGTTTCGTCTGTAATTATTCATGGGATAGCCATAGGCATAGTTGAGTAATGCTGCACAGTAGTAGCAGAGTGATGGTGAAATAGGTGCTCCAAGAAGGAAAGTTTGATAACTGGTAGAACCTTGACCCACTTGATAATAGCAGTTATACTATGGTGCCGTTGTACAGAACGTACTCACGAAGCCATTATTCATATAGATGAAGTTTTGTTCAGACATGATTGTGTGATGTGAAAAGTGTCGAGCAGTTATTATGAAAAGAAATCATGAATCTCAAACAGTCAAATTTTCATTCTTATACAGGTAATTTCTCGAATATGTGTTTGGCACAACAATAAAAAAAGCAAAAAAGTAACTCTTCTCGCC